AAAAAAAAAAAAAAAAACTAAACTATATTCTTATTATTCTTTGCTCTTGGATGGTTTCCTGGTCTGAGATTGTGCTCAATGTGCTTTTTCGGATGTACTGCTGATTCCAAACTCATGCTTGCCGGGTAATAAGCAACAGCCACCGGCGGACTGCTGGCCCCCCCCTAGAGTAGAAGGCACTTGCGTCGGTTGGGCAAAAAAAAAAAAAAAAAGGAGGACTATTCTCCACAAAACAAAAGTCTATTTTTTGGCTGCACAATAGTCCTATTCTATGCTCCCAGATGGTTTGCAGAGCTGAGATGGCGGGAAAAACACCAGCCAGTCTATTCCACGAATTCTCTGCAAAATTTAATAGTCGATTCTCTGCAATTTGCCAATTTTAAACCAAAAAAACAGTCTATTCGCCGTGAGGTGGTTACGAATACAGTTGCGTCTCTGCTCTTTGCAGAGAATCGACTGTTGCAGAGAATAGACTGTTGCAGAGAATAGTATTGCGCTGAAGAGAATTGTCCTTTGGCGCAATTCTTCGGCGCAAAGTGGAGAGGCAGGTGTTGCTTTGGAAAATGTGCTGCGATGATTCGTCGAGTATTCATGCGACTGTTTGAGGTATTGGCAGAGAGCCTCAGAGCGGAAGAAGTTTGTTGAGTCACCAACTGTGCGTAGCTCAGTTGGTAACTTGGTACAGGGGAGGTTGTGGGTTCAATTCCCATTGCTCCCGGGAGGTTGTGGGTTCAATTCCCATTGCTCCCACGTCTGTGTGCCTGCGGCATACCTGGTGTCTTACCTCTGAGGTAACTACCCTTCTTCCCCCGAACATAACGCATATGCGTTGTATTTGAGTTTTCGAATTTAACAAGAATTCGAATATAATGCATGTGTTGTATTCGAAATTCAGGGCTATTCGAATAGAACACGTATGCGTTGTGTTCGAATAGAACGCATCCTACGCGTTGTATTCGAATAGAACGCATCCTACGCGTTGTATTCGAATAGAACGCAGCATGTACGTTGTATTCGAATAGATCGCACCCCATGTGTTGTATTCGTTTACAACGCAAATGCGTTATGTTCGGGGGAAGAAGGGTAGTTGGTACATGGTGGGACAAAGACGTGGTAGCTCAGTGGGTAGAGCTCTGGAGTTGCAACAGCAGGTTGCAGATTCAATTCTCTCCGCCCTCGACCTCCCCAGCGCACGATCAGTTGGTTCTAGATTGGCACCCGGCGTACTTGCACCCCAAGCCTAGCACAGTGCAGATGAGCTGACATGCATACATACGGGGGAATATCCATGGGGGCGTATGGGATTGTTAGGGCAGACGAGGGCTGGGGCATGCGGTACCTGTAGTAGGGAGGACAGAGTGTCCCATGGAGGATGGGTGTGAGGGTACCGTTCTGACGAGGCATCATCATGGAGGGCTGTGATGTCGTCGGAGGGAGCGAATGCAGAATAGCGGGAATGGTCTACCCTGCATTGCGAGGAGGCGGGTGGAGTTGCGGGGTCCGCATCCATATCTGCCACATGTGGCCGCTGCTGCGCGGGTGGCAGGGTAGTTCTACTGGGGGTTAGGCAATAGTAGAGCGCTAGAGGGAGCACCACTCTACCTGGGCATCGACATGGAGGGCGGTGATAACTTCAGCGGGGAGTAAGTGTAGAGCAGAGGCCGTGGTCTATACCCTGAATCGCAAGGAGGTGGGTGGGGTATGACGGGTCTGCACCTGTATGAGCCGGCACATTTAGGCCCCTGCCGAGCGGGTGGCAGGGTATTACTACCAGCTTTAGGAGCCGGATGAGCCAACTAATCCAGTGGTACAGAATATATGGTAGAATCGATCGACAAAGTTATAACTATGCAGCCTCACACTACAAAAAAGACTAGGAGATGCGGGAAGTAATCCCGGATGCAGAATACAGACGTGCTAAGGACACAGATGCTGCAGAGTACAGACATACAGGGGGAGAAAAAAACAGAAACAAGGGCGGACACGACAGGTTTTGAGTTCAAAAAGGCAAAAAAAAACACAACAAAGCGGCAATGGCAGGCTCCCAGTTTGGAAATGCAAGAACAAAAAGGGACCAAGCAGAAATGCCAGGCCCTCAGTTCGAAAAAGCAGCAATAGCAGGCGCAACGCTGTCCCGGGGCGTTCCCTCTGCGTACCAGGCCGTCTGTGGCCCTTTTTTTATGTTTTTTCCGGTCATTCAGAGTCGACCTTGCAGCTAACTGACAACATGTTAGCTGCTGCCTATGTGGTTATTTGTTCTTGGTTATTGATTCCCTTGCTGCATCCACAAGTACCAGCATTAGCAACACCAAAGGCAGTCCGTAAACACACACACACACACACACACACACACACACACAGAGAGAGAGAGAGAGAGAGAGAGAGAGAGAGAGAGAGAGAGAGAGAGAG